GTCGGATTCGGATCGGATCTGGATTTCAACGGATCCGTCGGATTCGGATCGGATTCGGATCCTGAAAAATGAAAATCCAATCCGATCCGATTTTGCGGAACACTAGTTACTTTATTTATCACAGCTTTTTACTTATTTGTATATGGTGATTCAAAAACGATTTCTGCTTTAAATTCCTAGAAAAATATTTGAAAAGCTTTTTTAATCATAGAAAAAATGATCTAGCAATATTTTTCTGTAAAAAGAAAGGTTTAATATTTTGTATCACATAGCTACAATGGGCCGAAAATCATCTGATCGCTCGATCATATATTGTGTGTATAAATAACATACATTGATTAAAGGTAATCGATCATTTTTCTTTTCCAAAGTATCGCAATGTCGTTAAAAACCATGAGTAGTCTCCAAACCGATGGAGCAAATAAAAAGTATGCAAAAGCAACCAAAAAGATAAATTTTTTAGCGAAATTTGCCAAATATTTGGTGAATAATCAAATAGGTGGAGTTTTTATTAAATTGTCGGACTCGTTTTCTCGTTACATATTATACTTGGACATGCACATATTAATATTTACTGGGTTTTATGATTTTAGATTTTCCTGTACGAATTATAGCGCTCCTTTCATTAATGTATTTACTTAAATTTCCCGGAGCAGACAAGTTCTTTCTCCTTCAACATGAAGATCCAAAAACGGGACTTTATAAGAAGGGAAGAGATGACGTGTATTTTGTTTTCACGTGGGTTGTTCTTTTTACTTCCTTACGTGCAGCTACAATGAAATATTTATTGTCACCCATAGCAAAACTTTGTGGAATAAAGAAAAATACTCAACAAATAAGGTTTGCTGAACAAGGATGGTCATTTTTATATTATTCCATTTTCTGGACACTTGGTATGGTGAGTAAGGCTATAAGACCCAGAAATTTTGCCATCATTATTTCGTCAATCTCCCATAAATTTCCATCCTTTAAATTTTAAAAAAGAGAAGGGAGAGTGGGAATTGGAATTTATTAATTCGAAGATTTTGACGAATTAAGAACGAATTAATTGATTGGCTTTATGAATTCTTTCCTTGCTTATTGAATTGATTTTAGTATGTAATGTCCAAATCACCTTATTGGTTTGATACCACATATTTTTGGAAAGGTTATCCACATATTGAAATGTCGGGCCTTTTCAAGTGGTATTATCTGGTGCAATTAGCTTTTTGGATTCAACAAGTTTTCGTCATTAATATTGAAAAGAGACGAAAAGATTTTGTCGAAATGGTGGCCCATCATGCGATTACCATCTCATTGATTTATTTTTCTTATTTAATGAACTTTACTCGAATTGGAAATGCTGTTTTATGTACTATGGATTTTGTGGACCTTATATTACCAGTAAAGTTAATTTAATTTGTTTCGTCTTTTTATATTGTTAATTTATTATTTCTTAATATTTTATTTATTTTATTTTTTTTTTTTTTTTATTTTTTTTTTCTGTAAAGTTCGCTAAAATGCTAAAATATTGTGGATTCAATGTAGTTTGTGATTATGTTTTTGGATTCTTTATGCTATCATGGGTGGTGACACGCCATTACTTCTATGGATGTATAATATATAGCACATGGACTGAGCCTCAACAATTAATAGAATTTAAATGGGCACCAGAGGAAGAATATTATGTAACAGAAAATTCTATGGGATTTTTTTTGACTCTTTTCTTATTTTTACAGGCATTAATTTATTTTTGGTTTTATTTGATTTGTCGTGTCGCGTATCGAGTAATCAAGGGGGATAATGCACATGATAATCGAAGTGATTCTGAATGGTAAGTATATAGTCATAAGAATTATTGTATCTTCGCGCCTTATAACAAAAATTTTTTTTCTTTATTTTAATTCTAGGGAAGAAACCGAAGCAAATACTAATTTTGCAAAAGAGATAAAGAACGAATAAGCAACTTTTAAAAATAGAGAAATTTTTTCAATTTTTTTACATTATATCCGAAAGCATTATATATTTATTATTTGGACATAAACTGTGTATAAAGTTATGTATTTAAAAAAATTACAATTAATTTATAACTTAATATATTTGATCTAGTAAATTATCACGGCTTTTTTTTAAAAAAAATCTTAAGATAGCAATTAGGTCAAGAATCCTGTGTTTTCTGTACTTATTTGAATGAGATTTGTTAAATTCAAAAAAAAACCTTATAATGAATAAAATGAAGCAAACGAGATCGACCAAAAAATAACCAATTTACGATTTTTTGATCGAGAATTTTACCATGAATTGCAACAAACATCTAATTTATTATATGTATTATTACAGCAGAAGACGAACAGATGATGATAAAACTTCAAGAAAGAAGAAGACAATATTATTAAAACGCGTTCAGACGTGTCGTCATCTAATTGTAAAATTGATCAAGGTAACTACAAAACTGATCGTTTAGATCGCGATCTGATCGTTTCAATCATCTAGGGCTCAACTTTTGGTCGATCCGGTCCGTCGGCTTAATAAATCAACTAATCATCAAACCAATCTGTGCGACAGTCTATTGTAACTATCCAAATATATAATATTGGTACCGCTTAAAGTAAACGACAATATTGTGAAATAAATCAAGATATTTTAAAATAAATCAAATGGTATAAATTTGTAAAGGAATTAATGAGTAGAAATAATGAAAGGGTAATAAACTTTGATAATATATGTTTTATTAAACTGAAAGTAACTCTAATGAATTATTTTTTATTAAAATAGTAATGCCAATAGTTAAGGAAAAAAGTAGATAATATATTTAATAATTGGAGTTAAAATAAAAATTATAAATAGTTTATATAAAAATTTATTAGTAAATAAAAATTGAATTTGAAGTAACCAAAGTTTATTTAAGTTGTAAAAATGGTTAAATAAATAAAATATAATATTGGTAGAATGTTAGTAAAATATGATTTATGTTTAAATAGTAAATGAATAGAGTAGAATAAAGTATTGCATTTTTTAAAATTGATTTAAGTTTAATACAGTATTTTAAAAAAGGATATAAAATCATATTAATGATGTAACAATTTATAGATCAATTATTTTATAGCATTTACAAATTTATTAATTTATTAATATCTTAAAATTTTTCTTCTATATACAGTATATCTAAAAATCAGATAAAATTAAGTGATATCAATAAGTGTTAATTTAAAGTAAAGACTAATAGATTAGTGAATTAACTTTTATTATATAAAAAATTTAATTCATCTAAAATAGCTTTTATATATTTTAAGTTTTATTATTATTTATCATCTAATTAGTATCATTTATAAAATCCAATATTAAGACTAATACAAATATTAAAAGATTAATATATTAAAAAAATCTGTTATTATTTTAATTAAATAATAATTCTTTTTAACATTATAAAAATTATAATTAAGATAGGTATATTATAAAAATAAAAAATTAATTTCTTCTTAATAAATATTAATTTTAATATTATAATAATGAGTAATTTTATAAATAATAAATATCATTATTTTTTTTATTAAAAAAACTAATAAGCAAATTATAACTTTTAATTAAATAAAGATTAATTATTAAAATTAATTCTATTATAAGTATAATACATTTTAATATTCTTATAAAAGATATTTAATTATTATAATTATAAATCTTCTCTTTTAACTTCTTTTTATAATAAATTATCTTTAATACTATTAAATAAGATTTTTTCATTCTTGTTATATTATATAAAATATAATATATACTGTAATTGAAATATTATAGTTTTTATTTTACTTATTAGTAATAAGCATTATTAACATTAAATTAACTTTAGAAAAATGATTTGTAAAAAGTATTAGATTTAATTTTATATAGATCATATTAAGAAAAATTTTACATTATATTATTAAAATTAATTAATATATTATGTTAGAAAATTATTATTTTTATTATTTTTATTATTTTTTTAGTATATTTATTATTTTATAAAATTTAAAATAAAAATTATATATATTAGTTAATAAATATATTATTAAAATATGAAAATTATATCAGTTTTATATGTAAACTTTTCTTTTTTATATATAATTTATCTATTTTAATAATAATTTGTATATATTTTATATTATATAATATATACACTAAAGATGGCATTACAATATTGTGATGCTTATTTGTCATCTGTTGTAACTTAAATTTTAATAATATTACAATTTGTTGCAATATTGTGATGCTTATTTGTCATCTGTTGCAACTAATTAAGGTGCTATCTTTAATATACACTAAAATATAATATATATATTTTAGTTAAGAAATCTTAAAATGACATATTATAGATCCTTTTCAACAAAATAGATAATAATGAGAAAATTATAACATTAGAAAATTAAAAGTAATTAATCAAATGAAGGATTATAAAAGAAAAATAATTAGTCTAAAATCATGTAATAAATCATATGATATTAAGTAAAATTAAATTACAAAATAAAAAGATAAATAATTAATTAAATTATATTATAAAATATAAAATATATAATAATAAATTACATGATAAATATTATAAATATTATATAATTAAGAATATGAAAAGAATGAGATACAAATAGATCATATAAAAGAAGATAAGAATAAATCACATGATATTGGATAAGTTATTATCTAAAATAATATAATAGAATATGAATTAACTACATAATAAAACTCATAATAAGTGATAAAATCATAATACAAAATATGATAAATCACATAATAAGTAATAATAAATATAATACAGATTATAAATTAATTATAAGATTTTAAAAATAAATAACTGAAGTCACAGAGAAGAAAATAGTTAAAGAATTCTTAAAATAAAAGAAAGAAAGACAATCTACAAATATGTATATTATATAAAGACTTAGATAAAAGAAATTTACAGAATAAAATTAAATACTTGTGTAATCTATATTATTAAAAAAAATTAATAAAAATAATGAAGCAAAGATACAAATATATATATGATTATAAAAGAAAAAGGATTCATTATACAAAATTAAAAAAATGTAAAAAAAATGAAAAATTAATTATTGAAATTTAAAGAAAATCTAAAAATAGAAATGATATAATAATGATATTATATAATAATCTTTAAAATAAAGAAGAAAAATTGTAAAAAAAAAAATAATAAAGGAAGAATTAAAAAAAAAATAAAAATTAGAATAGAAATAAAAATTAAAAATAAAAGATAATATAGAAATTAGAATTTATATATTAATAAAATTTAAAATAGATATAATATAATATTAAAAAATAGATTTTTTATTTAAATCATCCCTGATGATTTTATTAAACATCATTTCATAATATGATCACGTGATTATGTTATATGATTGTTAAAATTATTAATCAAAATAAACCTTTCTACGTTCCTTTTTATTATTATTTTTTTACAAAATTTTCATTTTTCTATGTCCCTTTTATTTATTTTTTTTTTTTATTTTAACGTGCGGTAGCTTTGCACAATCTTTATTAAAAGTAAAGTAAAAATTACATATTACAAATGAGAGAATACAAAAATTTCTATCTAGTAAGAACTAAATCAAAACCAACCTTGCACCGTTCTAGACTAACCTACCCTAAACTAATTTAAAATAGGTTCAAACATCCAGTATAGGGGCCTGGTTACTACCGTTCCAAAAATTTGACCAATGCGATCCAAAAAGGAATGAATTATGGAAAAAGAGGGGATAATAAAGGTGTGAGGGGGGGAGTCAGGAAAGCCAGTTGATACAATATTTTCTTTTCGATTTTTGAGGGACAAGTTATGATCATCTTCAAATTTTTTTAGGATGGAACATCGTTCGAGCCAGAGAGCTTTGATTTTTTTGTGTGTGAAGTGGTATGTTAAGGAAAGTAAACTACAGACAAGTGACTTATTATTTACTATTTGGTGTAGTTTCGTTATAAGCGAGAACAAAACTATGCCTTTTATGAAGTCAATAAAACTAAAAGAGAAGGGTGTAGAATCAAAGTTCCAAATATCCATTGAAGTGATGCCTGCTATATCAAAGTGTTGATTGAATTCAGTCAACTGCTGAAAGAGGAAGGCAATGGTGTCTAATAATATGTCGTTAACTTGCTGTAAAGTATGTTGGCAAAGCCAGATATGATCGAAATTTTCAAAGCCAGTAAGGCATTTAGGGCAGGACCATGAAGGATCATATAGCTTAGGGTGACACATTTTGAGTACCTTAAGTGAAGGAAGGAGTTCAAGCAGAAGTTTGACTTTAAATTTTCGTATGGAGGAGGCCTTATAGGATGTGACTGAGTCACTTTCATTGTCATTGAATATGAAGGCAGTATTAATCCAGTCTACCTCTAATGTTACGTATTTTTAAAATGTGAAAGAAGTTGAATGTTTAAAAAGTCGATAGAGTTGAGGATGTCTTTGATAAACTATCGTAGAGGTATTAGAACAATCTAGTTTTTATAATGGAGAGTATAGTCGAAACCTAATTTTGACTGTACCAGAGTTATAGGTAGACTTATTTCTTTAGCGAGTCAGTCAACTTCATTATTATAGTGGTCGTCAGCGTGAGCTTTGACTTTATAGAATGTGATATTAATATGTTTTTCTTTGAGCTGACGGAAGAGAGAACACCAAATAGGATAATTTGAAACTTTGAAAATAGGGTTATATGTGGGGGCGCAAGTGAGAAAATAATTCATTTTTGAATAAGAGGCAATAGTGACTAATGAATCTGTGAAAATGTCAATATTGGAATTAAGGGGTGAAACATGGATTGCAGCCAAAACCACTACTAATTCAGCTAGAGAGGAAGATGGTTGGGGAAGGGTGATAGAAGCATTAAAGGAATGAAGAGGTTCTGATGGATCGACTTGTAACTAGGCAATCCCTATACAAGATGAAGAACTACTTATATTAGAGAGAGAACCGTCAGTATAGAACGAGA